CCGTCCAAGCGTCAACTCCCATTCCCCAAACTTGACAGTCTTTTGGGGCAGATCGGGTGTTAGCCTCGAACAATAAACAAACACCAGGACCTGCGCTCAACATGCGAGCGATCAACGCAAGGCACGGGGGGCGCCAAGCCAACCCGGCCAAATACACACGCCGAGGCGACTGAGTGGCAGGGGCAAGCATCACCAGCCATCAGCCATCAGGACGACCGGCTGTGGCCCAGGCAGGAAAGGGTCAGCTTTACAAAAAGGACATCTAAGTGTGAACCCGTCGCCCTTCTGCTAGAGGCAAGGACTTGAAACTCACGCACACAAACGCCTGCACGGCAGGGCCTAGGCCTCACAGCAGTCCGACGAGCGGGCACACTCTGGCCACAACAGGGCCACAAGGAAAGTGCAAAACAGACGACACGCCACATCCTACCCACACCCAGCACAGCTCACCGCCCAGCCGCCGCAAGTCACTGAGCCGCCCACACCGACGTCCTCGCTGCTGTTGTCACCGCCGCTGCTGCCAGCTGCCACTGCTGCAGCCCGCGCCAGCCAACAATTCCCGGGCCCACGCTCCAGCTGCGGCCGCGCGCTGTCTGCAGCCGCATGAGCCACACGAGCAACCACCCGCCGCCACACCGTTGCAGCCCAAACGGATGCATGCCCAGCGGCTGGTGCCGGCCAGGCCTGGGGCGTCGGGCAGGGTCCTGTGCCAGTCTGCCCGCACCGCATGCTCGACGCCAGCGACGACGTCATCGATGGCATCGGCCGCAACAAGCTGCTGCCATGTCAGCTGCCGCCTGCAGCGCACGCGCCACGCCAGGAGTCCCAATGTCGCCAACCTTTTGCATCCCTTTCATGTGTCTGACACTGAGTGAGTGAGTGAGGGAGTGAGTGAGTGAGTGAGTGAGTGAGTGAGTGAGTGTGTGTGTGTGCGTGCGTGCGTGGGTGGGTGCGTGCGTGCGTGTGCGTGCCTGCGTGCGTGCATGCGAACACCAGCACACCAAGCACAAACAACAAGCACGGCATTGAACGTGAGCAGTTTCATGCATGTGATCGTAGCGGAGGCAGAGCAGGGTGCAGCAGCAGGTGGTCAACCAAGCTGAAAATGGCACTCCTGGAGGGTCGCACCTTGAGAAGAACGAGCTGGTTGCGACCTGCTGCCGGCGTGACTGGCACCAACGGTTGGCACTCCGCCGCAAGTATCCATCACCCTGCTCCCTGGAGATCACCAGCAGGCTGATCACCACGCAGACCCCTTGCAGTGCTGCATTGCTGGATGACGGCTGGCTGGCTGTTGCTGGCCATCACTGGCATGTCCTCCTGCTCAATTCACATGCGGGGTTGTCTATGCCGCACAACAACCCAGCTCTGCCATCCGCCGCTGTTGTCAGGCCTTGCTGGGCTCGTCACTGCGGGGCATGGAACTCAGCGCCCTGGCAACGAAACTCGCATCCCTGGCCCTGGCTCAGTCCCACAGGCGAGTGCGCGCTTTGAACGCAACACCGCCCTGTGCCAGTTGACAGCAGGGCACCCACAACGACGCAGCCCGAGAAGCGCACATCAACGCCATCAACCCCGTGGCACCCTCATTCATGCTTGACTCCCCACTGTAGTAGCACACACGTCGCACCGGCTCCCCGCAGGTCACTACAGCCACCTGCAATAAGCAACCACCGGTGCCATCGCCCAGCTCTTGCCGCGATGCAGCCTGTGCATGGCTTCTCACGCTGCCCCTTGCCGCATCATGTGTTGGCAGGGGTAGGTAGTCACGCTCCCGCGCCGCGGCAGGGGGCGTGAGCGACGCGGCTTCAACCACTCCAGCACAGAGCTGACAACTCCTCCTTCACCCGCCAAGGTGGCAAGATGGCAGTGCATGAGGCCTCACCTTTGCTGCGGCCGTGTGGCATGTCACCTCCAGCTGCTGCAGAGGCTCGAAAGCCCCAGGCACACTGCTTGTGATCATGATAGAGCCCACCAGACCCTATGGACGCACGTCCTCAGCTGCAACAGCTGCCAAAGGTGGGCGCGCCGCTGCAGGGGCCACGTCCATCTCCGGCCCCGCGCCAACATCCCCTCAGCCCGTACAGTATTGTGCGAGCGATCCCACCCCACACAAGGTCGGGGTCCTCATCAGGAGCACCTGCACGCTGTCGCACCTGTGCTCTTGGGAGAGAGACCCGGTCCTCACATCATCTGCTGAACGTCCACTCTGCAGCCCCCTGCGCTGCTGCAGGCTAATATGGGCATGTCCAGCTGCCATCAGAGCCCTCGCCTGCGTCTGCTCGGCTGTTTGCATCGTCCCAACGCTGCGCCCGCTGGCATGATGGCAAGGGCTGTCCTTCATCAACCGTGCTGCCTCCGAGGGGCCGCTTGCATTGCCCGACTCCCAAGTTGGCAGCAACCACAGCACAGGGTCTCGTGTACTGCACTGTCAATGCCCAGGGCAAGCACAAGCCGCCCTGGGCATCCTGCATCCACGCGCAGCAGCGCACCCAGTCGCATCACGAAGAGCGCATCGCATACAGCATCTCCGCCTCTCCACCCAGCTTGCCAACGCGCGTGACTAGAAGCTGGCGTGCTGAACTCATCACAGCCACGGTTGATCTGCACCACTCTTGAGCGCGATGCACACCACGTGACTAGCGCCATTTATCTCACCATTGCTTTTTCGATTAGTGCCGGTCGATCCCATGGAATTGATCACCTCCGTCGGCCAATACTGTGATGAAGCATGCATCAGGTGACTGAGCTGAGTGACCAGACTGGTCTACTCGTTGCAGAACGACCTGCCAGGCTCGTTGGTTGAGCACAAATTGCATTCCTGAGCTCGCCCTTCCTGGTGTATGCCGTTGTCGGCCGTGCGCCCAGAGCTCACCTTTTCTGGTGTGTGCAGATGTCGGCCGTGCGCCCAGCCTTGGGGCATTGCCAGTCCTGACATGCAAGCTGGTGGGTCATCCACAACTGCTGTGGTTGAAGCCCTTCATGCATGCTGAGGCCCGCAAACCACCATCAATTTTGCTGTGCGTGTCGTGCACACGGTGCTTTCATTGCGCTGCACATTGTCGGCCCAACCCCACAGAACCCCTTGCAGTCTCCAGCCTGTCCAGCGCCTGGTTTCTCAAGTGCTTGTCCCGCAATTGTGCAAAAAGCAGCCCCTGCAAGTCCTCAGGCAAGAGTCCTGTACGATGCTGACCTGAAGTGAGGTGCAGAAATGATCATGCTGCAAGCTCCACTGAAAAGCTGCACAGTCAAAACGGTATCCCATGCGGCGTGCATCCTCACAGCACCTCAGACTCTGTGGCAAACCCGTGCAAATCATCCCGCCTGACACTTGCTGCCATCGTCACTGGCGAGCGCGCCGCGGTTTCTTGCCCGTCCCAGGCCCCCGGGTGTCAGCCATTTGTGGCGCCTCCATCCGGCGCTGCGCCTCGACCAGGCGCTGCGCCTCGTCGTCGCATGCGTCAGCCAGGCGCCAGAATGCAGGAGGGTCCCGCAAAGTGCGGGTCCCTGCGGCCATCCCGGCCAGCAGGCTGAAGGCAGCGCGCTTGGCTGCGTCCAGCAGCTTAGGCCCCACAGCCGTGAATTTGCCAACCACCAGCTCCTCGTCGTCGTTGACGTCGTCTCCGTCCCCGCCGCCGTCACCGTGGCCCCTGTTGGCTGCGGGCTGCAGTTCCTGGGAATGGTCGCAGCCAGGGGGAGCGTGCGTCCTTTGTGCGTGCTAGTCGCGTGTGTTATGTGTGTGCACATTGATCGCATACGCATATCCATTGCTCTCCGCTCGATTGTTGTGCAGTCCGCTCGACGTTGGCATGCAAGCACATCAAGAAGTTGAGACCCCTGAGAAGAAGCACACCTCACCTTGGCCACGTATCGAATCTCAATCTCGACGCTCCACAGGACCAGCTCACGCTTGACACCAGACCTATACCACAGCTCCTCCCGCCCCGCCTTGTGCCGCAGGCCAAAGTGTGGGCCCGGCTGCTTGCTCAAGCGGGGCTTGTGAATCTTGTCGGGGACCTCCTGCCTGGGGGCGTGGGCGTCCTGCACGTCCACCAGCACCACCCCGCTGGGCTTGAACGGCAGCAGGCTCGCCTCAGCGGCCGCCTTGGTGTCTAGCCTGATCAGGTGCTTCTCGGCGGTCACCCGCGCCTCCAGTCCACGCTCCTTGCACAGCATGTCAGCTGCCAGCAGCGGGTCCTCGATTTGCTCCCACGACGCATTGCCCTGCGCCGCCTGCCGAAGTTCGTTGAGCTCGCCCTGCAGGCCCGGGTAATAGCCGCCCAGCACCATGCCACAAACCTGGGGCCGCGCGCCGCACACCACGCCGGCCGCAACGCCTTGGGGGCCGGGCTGCGGCTGGACGCCGCCCTCGCCCCAGCCGGGCCCCGCGAACAGGCCGCTGGCCGCCTCCCCATCGCCAACGTCACCCTGGCCTGCGTCTGCGGCGCCGGCCAGCTGGGCAGCGGCGCCAAACGGCGCGCCGCCGCCGAGCAGCGGGGTGCAAAAGCCGCCGGCGCCGCTCCCCGCCGCCTTGGCCGCGACTTCGGCCGACACCCCCAGCTGCTGAGCAGAGGTAAGCAGCGGCACCGCAGCCTTGCCGGCGTCCTCCATGTCCACATCCTCCACGCCCTGCTGCGCCGACTCCTTTGGCGCGCCGGGCAGGGCCCGCGGCGGGCACGGCGGGCGCTTGCCGCAGTCGTCGCCATCGCCAATGC